CAGGGCTTTAAGTAAACAATGCATACTGTAAACTGTGAATTTATGCTGACTCATCATAGTTAAGGCCCAGGATTTTCTCAATCTTCATAAAATATTTATAAAACTTCATATCTGAGTTAAATTCTCCAAAATCTCTGACATAAACAAGATTTTATGAAATTCTGTATGTTCTAATTTTTAACCCTATATAGGTTGCAATTCTGTAAATAAAGACAATGCAATTTCCCATAGGAACTCCCTTTGCGGCTATAACTGTGACACTTTTACTATGAAGTTTCGTGAAAAATAATATCTTAGAACGGAAAGTTTATATGCACTACTATTTTATTCAAAGGTCAAAATATAGGGCTGTGCGGCATATTTTCAACATTTATATGCCCTGAACTTCTAAGAGTTTAAACTTATACTAAAATTCTATACTACCCTTACCTCCATTTTTGAACCTCCTAAGAATTAAAATTTAGGCGCTACCATGTTTTTCTATACTGGTTACATTCCCAAGTGATGTCTCTATGAGATGAAACACAGAGATCATAAATGGGAACCAGTACGTTAACAAATTAACATATCTATGAATATTATATATCTCCCCAAAAGAGGCGTGGTTTGAGAAACAGTTGTATTTACAAAGTGCAACCTACAGACTTGTTTTATGAGAACTTCAGTTTTGTAATGACAAAATTCTTTTTTGGAGACAAAATTCTTTTTTGAAGACATAATTCATTTTTGTAGACAAAAATTCATTTCAATTTTGTCAAATAGGTATGCAAATATAAACTTATTTGCATACAAAATTGACTTTTGTTACCTGATATGGAAATTAAAACACAAAATTCAATTTTGTGAGACGAAATTCAATTTTGTGAGACAAAAATTCAATTTTGTTGTGAGACAAAATTCAATTTTGTTGTGAGAGTAAATTCGATTTTGTTGTGAGACAAAATTCAATTTTGTGTTTATCTTTGTGTAAACAAAATTGAGTTTTTTTAAACAGAAGTGAAAATTTAACAAAACTCAATTTTGTCTACACAAAAATAAACACAAATTTTAATTTTGTGACAAAATCTCAGTTTTGTATGCAAATTAGTTCACAGAATCCAAACTAAACTAATTTGCATACACAATTGACTTTTGTCGCCCAATTTTCAAATTAGGTAACAAAAGTAAAGTCTGTGATACAAAAATTAATTTTGTTATGACAAAAAGTAATTTTTGCCCACTTAAAGATAATTTTGTATGACAAAATTTAAATTTGTAGTATGCTCCAAATTTTGTTAAACTGAACTAATTTTTGTTGAACAAAACTCACTTTTGTCCGTACAAAATTGAATTTCGAGTACAAAACCACAAGAGTCCCGTTCGGCGCCCCGTACTACCTCATGGTTGGTTTTTGGTCTTGTTTTTAAGAATGATTAAAATGCCCTGCGATTTAAGCCTGTCATGAAGTGCTAAGATTGTCATTTTAGGTAATTGTGGCAAATGGTATATTTGTAGGACGGTGCTTTCAAAAATGATATTATTTTACTTTTTACATTTGACAATTTTCGGAAATCCCACAAAACAAATAAAAATTTTATGGAAAAACGATCTTGAAATGTTGTTTTAATTTAGCTTGTTACATTTATGTCTAATTGCCAGAGATTGGTAACTTATATCCCACAAATATGTTTAAAAATGTAAACTCTTAACATTTACGGAAACTTTCAACCCAAATATTCAAATTTTGGATTTAAAGATGCAACAATATTTGACAACATATATCGACAATTATCAATAGTCTTTGTGGAAAACGTCAACTCACTCTCTTTACAGTAGTACTATTGCAAGAAGAACGCATACTAAAAATCTTAGCAACAAATAAAATCCCCTTTCTGTTCATAAAATGACTCAGCTGAGTATATATATATAAATTAAATAGCCTGGAGAAAATCAAAAATAGTCATTTTGAAATGCTATTAACATGACAAATTTAGATTTTCCTATTGCCTCTGGTATATAATTCTATATTTGTAAGACACAAGGAAATCGTCTTGAAATTGTAAATAATAAACGAGGTGCTGTCTACAACAGAAGATGAAAATTATTAAAATGTCATATTTGAGTTGTTAAAATCTGTTACTGTCTTCTTTCAATGTTTGTTGCAGCCTTATGGATAAAAACAATTTTCTATGGTACCAAATTTTTTTTATGTAAATGAATTACTTCGCTATTGATACTTGTCAGAGAAATTTTCAGTTGAAAAAAATTTTCATTCTAATATTTCCCATGTGCAATGGTTCCTTGGGTGGTTTTTCAATGTCTTATCTTTTGGTTTTTTATTCTCTTCAAATCACAGTGTTTTAAGATTTTCAAGTGTTGGTTTCAATGCAATTTCAACTGACGAAAAATAAATGTTCAACATGTGTGTGTCATCATTCAAGTTCATTTCAGTTTTTATTTAGTAACTTTGAATTGGTTTCAAAAGACAAACTGGACTCTGTTTAGCAAATATTGATAGTAAGATAAACTTCTACATTAAAACGTTGAAAGCTTTAGTTATAGACAAACACAAAATGTGTCATGTAAAAAGGATTATTGAATGTATTGAATTATTTCTCTTTGAAATTGAATGAATCATCTTTGAACTAAACGGATGTTCACTGATAATTTCAGTTAAAATACAGATCTAAATCCAGTAACACATGAGATATTAATTATAGAAAACCTAAATTTTACAGTGACAATTTTTACATTTTCTGTGGTAAGACATTCAGATTCTGTGTCAAAAAGTGAAATACCAAATACCGAACTCCAAGGATAATTCGAAACAGAAAGTCCCTTATCAAATGTCAAATTCAAACTATCAAACACATCAAAAGAATGGAAAACAACTGTCATATTCCTGACTTGGTACAGGCATTTCAGAGTCAAGTAAGAGCAACTAATAAACGTAAAATCATGTCTATCTACAATCGGTGCAAATTTGGTGGAAAAATTATCCGTTTTCTGCTGGTTTTGTCGTGTATAGAAAACATAAAACAGACATTGATTTTAAATATCGATCAGTGTAAAAGACTTATTCGCAGTTTTGTTAATAAACAATAAAAGTGAGACAATATAAATAAGGTTGTATGTTTAAAATAACAAATCTGACTATTATAAGTAGTAATTATTGAACATTCTATATAATTTGATCAAAATACACTGTCACTTATCTTTGTAGACCCTGTAGACATTTGTTATGGTAAACGCGGACTCGTTTCATGTGGAGCAAAATATAAAATATCTATTCTTGATATATCATTTGAAAGAAATTGTACAAGCTGCGATTGCACTTATAATCAGCAATCAAAATGTGCGGAATTCAAATTGCCTGGCTCATGGGTAAATTCCCGTTATTACGAAGCAGTATATGGACAACAAGAAATTTTGATAACAAGTGAAAGGGTAAAGTGTCCAAACGAGGAACAGCTATTCTCAAATCAAGTACATATACAATATGAGTGCATAAGCGGTAAGTTTATTTTGCTAACTCTAGTTTTTCGAGAAAAAATGTTTTAAAAGTTCATTTATAGGCCATACAAGAGGCGAATGTGAAAATTAACAACCTTTATCAGTATGCTTATAATAATTATAATAAATTCTTTATTTGAAGAGCGTAACTCAATTAGAACTAGTCGAATTTTCATTGAGCCGTGGTACTTATCTAAAAGTGCTTGATTTTTAAAACGAAAAACATTATATTTAAATAGAGAAAATATTGAACCTTATAATACCTCATCTAATACAAACTATTGTTATATTTATTAAACGGTACAATTGACACAAAAGCATAAAATATTTTAAGGAGAAATGGCCCAAAATTGACAGAAAGGCTGTCTTTGTTAGGGATGAGCTGATGAAGAGGATAAACATTTACAATAAATTTTAAAGGAACCTGATAATCAACATTATCTTATTATGTACTGTTCTATAAAATGCGAATTAGTAATCATAATCCTAATAAAAAGAGGGGGGAAAATAACGGTGTTATTTTTTAAAGTAAACAATTTAAAGTAAACAAAAATGATCGTCAGCTTTAACATATCTGATATAGTGACAGTAGAAAAAATACATTTAGCTTAAGATATGCACTTGCATTGGTTACAACAGCTCATCAAATAACCAAGATTCTTCAGACGCGCTATTCTTCCACATAGTACTCATCAGCAGTGCGCAAATCAAAACCGATGGAAGGCCATTTCAAATACGATGTTGAAGAGCATTGAAAACCAACAATTCCAAACAATTGTGCCAATTTCGGGAAAAAGCAATCTATGTCCATTGTTTCGATTGATTCAACATTTTATTAACACTAAATACACAGAAAACAGTATCAATAATATTTCATGTCAACATGGGACTACTGGGCTGGTGATATCTTTTGGGTACGAAACGTCATTTGCCGACTCAGTGGTTGTAAAATCTCATAAAAGATACCAGGACTTGTAAAATGGTTGCAAACAAAATGGTTCATATATCTTTAATATAATGCATTTATATCATATATTATAAAAGACTTCTGTGACATTATCAACAAGACAGAGGGACCAAGTTTACACTTACAGTATGGCTTTTCTTCAATGTTTACCTCTAAACGAAACTGTAAATGTAAAACTTCTACAACATCAGGAACTTTGCAAATTCAGGCAGTTGATATTCGATTTCAAAATGATGCATCCGGAATATGTGGTAAAAATCAAAATTCTTACTTAGAGTTTGATTCTGCAAACAATTTTATAAAGTGTCAAAATAGGCAGTTAATTGGTGGTTATGAAACTATTTTCAACTCTACTCAATCCAGCATGGATATACTTCTTCATCTAGACGGAAGTCGTCCAACTATCTGGATTGCTGTATTAGGTAACGCATCGATTTGTTTATATTTCTTATTTTTATCTGCATATAAAAAACTTTACTGAGTATATTATAAACTTGAATTTTCATCATGTTATAACTGGGTTTGTACTTACGCGAGCAAAATGACGGGTGTACCATGTGGTGCAGGATCTGCTTACCATTCTTGGGCACCCCCGGTTTTGGTGAGGTTTGTGTTGCTCAGTCTTTTGTTTTCTATTTTGTGTTTTATGTACAGTTGTTTGTCTATTTTGGTCTTTTACATTTTCGCCATGGCGTTGTTAGCATATTTTCGACTTATGATTTGAATGTCCTGTTGGTATCTTTCACCTCTCTTATTTTTCAAGTTATCAATTCTCCACACCTTAATACTGATATACCAACTTCACCTGCATATGGGATTACCATGTCTCAACTCATTTGGTATTCAAGAGCTTGCAGCTGCTACCCAGATTTTATTAAACGTCACCCGCGTCTGAGCAGAAAGTTGATGAACCAGGGCTATGTCAAAGATTGTCTCGTGTTTTTTTTCAAAAAAAGTTCATCGGAAGATACCAAGACCTTGTTGATAAATATTCCGTATCGACTTCACATATAATACATGATGGTCTTGAAGAATAGATTCAAGGTACTGATATCGTTTATCATCTTCATTACGTGTTATTGTGTTCTTTTATTTGTCTTTATAAATTATCAACCATTACTGTTAAGCCTATTTTTGGTAATATCCTTTTAGCGTGGCACGGTACTTATGCATCCCGCCAGTGTGTTGTTGTGCTGTGGTCATTTTTTGTATTATTATCTTTCATTATTGCTTATGTGCTTTGTCTTTGTTCCATTTTGTTTTTCTTTTTTTGACATATTTGTCTGTTTGATAGTGATTACGATTATTATACCATGTTGACTGCTGTACCCCAATTTATGACCGTTTTACCTATTATGTTTGTTTGCTTTGTTCAAACATTGTTGTCGATATAATGAAATTTTATGCGACTGTCATACAATTGAGAGGTTTAGCTAGATATAAAACCGGGTTTAATCCACCATTCTTCTTCATAAGAAAATGCTTGTACCAAATCAGGAATAAAACAGTTGTTTTTCCGTTCGTTTGGTGTGTTTGAGCTTTTGATTTTGCCATTTGATAAGCGACTTTCCAATTTGAATTTTCATTTGAGTTCGGTATTTTTGTTATTTTGCATTTTGCATTCCGTTTTTGTTGTACAGACCTTTAAATCAATTCCAAGAAAGGTTTCGGACCCGATGACTTAGTTTTCTGTCATCTAAAACGCAACAGAAGATTATAATTAGTACATTTTACAAACTTTAAAACTTAGTGACAGGTACAGAAATATAAATCCACATACTTTTACTGAATAATTTTATCATCATCAATTCAACAAACAGTCATTCACAGTGGCAAAAAATGTACTATACAAAGAAGATAATCGAGGATCAGCACCTCGTACTATAATTCAGGGCATGGCTTTTCTATTGATTAACATTTACTTAAACATGCTGTGTAAAAGGAATTCGAAAAAATCCCTTTGGTATGGTCATATATTTTTTTAATTTACTTGGCATTATGAATATAAGGTTTCTCTTCAGCTACTTCAGGAAAGAATGTGAGTGTCGTATGTAATAATATGGACATCGACACTACCCTAGCATATGGCATAACCTCTAAATATTCAGGAGGGATCAATATGCTAACATCAGTAAGTTTAAAAGAGATAATTCCAACGACATTTTCGAATTCAGAAAAGACCAATCTGGTGAAATCAACATTTTCAAAAGAAGTCCATATGGAGAAATCAACGCATTCAAACGTTATCAATCAGAAGACAGCATCACAATTAGATCAAATAAGTACCAACCACAATATTCAGCCTACCGATGAAACAAAATACCCTAAGATAGGAGAATCGGTATCCAGAATGAAAGGTAATATACATATTAAAAGCAAAACTATGTTTTGAGAGGGGTTGCATGAATACATATGCATTGCTTTATGTAGAAACTACAGAAACTGTTATATTGATAATCATTTGTATGTATCATAGAGTGTATACTATACTGGCTGAACGTACGGTGTTGATCTGTAATAGCTTTATTATCAAAATAACTTTTACACAATGAATAAGGTAAATTCGAAGAAATTCATTGTTGATTTATCAATTTGAGTTTCAAAATCATCTTGATTTGCATTTTACTTTATGTTTATGTATATCTATAGTTGATGCAAAGGTGGAGATGTTTTAAAGGCCAGTCTTCAACTGTGAAATTTCAAAACTTGTAAACTTTTTCAATCCTTTTCAGTGGCAGGGGTGTTCGATTCCAATGTTAATTTACCAGGATCGTCAGTTTCCCTGCCGAAGGTTGGTGGTTCTCTTCACGCACCCGGCCTTCTTTACTTTAAAACAATGACTGTTACGAAATAGCATTTAGTGCCGAAAGTGGCGTTTAATACCAATCAATCAATTAATCCTTTATATATATTTATAATAATTATGCTTGTACTACTGATCAATCATAGGGATATTTTACAGTTCATATGCCAGTCCAAAAAAGTAAGTTGTGATGTCACTTTAAAAAAGAGGTGAAAGATACCAAAGGCAAATTCAAACTCATGATTCGAAAATAAACTGAAAATGCTATGGTAAAGTACGAAAAACGACGAAAAGACATACAATGGTACACAAAACACAAGAACAAAACTAAAGACTAAGCGACACGAACCCCACCAAATCCGAGGTTGTTTTCAGGGGATCCAGATCATAAAAAACATGTTAAAATTACTTATTTGTACCTACATATGCCATTTTACATTTATTTGTGTAAAATTGAATATTAGCCAAGGCCTTCCCAAACAATTGAGGTTTTATTCTGGTATATTTTGCGGTCAACCATACAATGCAAGAAACTGAAAGCGCTATACCATTTAACTTAAGACACTTTTCCACAATATAAAAAAGTAAAAATATAAAAAAAACTGATCCTCGACACACACATTCTTGTAAACATCTAAAGACTTTCATTTGATAGATTGATGATCCCTTTAAATTTTCGAATTCCAGGCCCAAAAAGTGGTCTTATAAATTATGTTTGTGTTAGTTAGTGTAAAGAAGCGATTTCAACTCTATGCGATTTAAACTCATTAAAATTGCTCTATTTTAAATTGTTCATCCAACGACATTTACAAATTCAGAAAAGGTCGATCCGGAAACATCAACTTATTCAGAAGTGGTCAATCAGGCGACAGCACCACACTCAGAACAAACAAATACTAATCAGAATATTCGGCCCACAGATGTAACAAAATACCATAAGATAGCAGAATCGGTATTCAGAATGAAAGGTAAAATATAGTAGAAAATGGAAATTATGTCTTAAGTAGGGTTGCATAATTATATATTCATTCTTATAGTAGAAACTACTGTTATATTCATTATAATTTGTATGTATTTTAGAGTGTATACTACACTGTCTATACATACTATGCTGATCTTTAATAGCTTAATTTTCAAAATAACTTTTACACTTTGTATATCGATTCATTTGAATAAGTTTATTGTTGACTTGTCATTTTGAGATTCCAAATTATCTTGTTTTGCATTTTATTTTATGCGGTCATGTTGAGAAATCTGTGTCTTAATATGTCGATAGTTCATGTAACTGTGGAGAGGTATTAAAAGCCAGTATTAGACTGTGGAATTTCAACACATGTAAAATTCTGCAATCCTCTCTGTGCCAGGTGCGTTCGACTCCAATCTAAGAATTGAGTTTTGATTGTCAGTTTCCGGCTGAAATCCGGTGGTTTTTTCCACGTACTCCGGCTTCTTCCACCTATAAACTCCGACCGCAACGAAATAGCCAATGATTTAAGGTTGATATTTCAGTCCAAAAACGTTAGTTGTGATGTCACTTAAAAAAAGAAAGGTGAAAGATATCAAAGGATTATTCAGACTCATAAGTCGAAAACAAACTGACAATGTCATGACAAAAAGCGAAAAACGACGGAGGGGGTTTCTCATGTGCTCAGGAAAGGCACAAATATGTTGAAATTGCTTTTTTGTACCTATATAGGCTATTTTATATTTTTGGTAAAATTGGTTATGAGTCAAGGTCTTCCCAAAACAAATGATGTTTTATTCTGGTTTATTCTGCAGATTTGCTAAAAGAAATGATAAAAACTTAAAGCGCTTAAGCAAAAACATAAGACACAACTCAACAACATAAAAAGGTCAAAAATATAAATATTGATCTCTTGACACATACACAGTCTTGTTATCATTCGAGGGGTTTTCATAGGTTCATTTCGATGTTCTAGAGTTTGCAATTTCATAAATTACATTTCAGTTTTGAATAAATGATTTAAGCTAAATAATAATATCCAGCTTTTGGTTCACTCAGAGGTTGAAAATTCTTAATACTATGTTGAATTAAACCTACATCTTTTGATATATTTACGTCCCCATATGTGGTTTTATACCAAATTGTCTTTTATTTACATATTTTTGCTTATTTTTTCCGATTTAACTTTGTTTTTTACTTTTACTTTCCGTCTGTTCTCCTTTTTTCAAAGATCACAACTCTTCTCCAAACCTATTGAACCACTTTTGTTATAAATTGAGATAGCCGATCTTTAGTGTATGATAATGATAGTGTGTCCGTTGTTATGGTTTATCGACCAATATTGCCCTCAAAAAGATAAAATGCAAGTAATTATACAATATTTTGAAACCCATAATAGATATAACATGCATGACAGCGGCAACAAAAATATCAATATTTACTCTCCTGTCTCAGCATAACTATCATACGACTCCTCGTGGGAATTATTGCCTTAATTGATGATATTTTACGAATATTTGATTTTTTGTTCATTTCCTTCAGACGTAAACTATTAAAGACAGAAACTGTAAACAGAATAAATTATCAGCAAAACAGGATATACAGAAATGTGTATGTGACCTAACTATCAGTTGACTAATTTAAGAAGTTATTGCCATTAAATGACGATATTGACGCTTCGTTGATTCCCCATTTTCTTGAAACATTAATAAATAGACAAAATGTGTTGACAGTGAAAATGATAAACAGTACAATATCTACAATAATATTTATGTGACTGAACCAATCAATTGACTCCTCATAGGGTTTATTATCCTTTAATTTAATGACGGTTTACCA